AGATGCAAGTGAAAGGAACATTTTGACATTCTCCAAAATCTTACTAGTTCAACAAAACAAGTTTTAAGAGTCCTTTTTCCACAATTTTTATTGAGTGTCTTTTACTCATCACCACTGAAAGGCAAAACACCAAGGAGCACCTCAGCCACTCCCCAGAGCTCCAGCAGTGCCCCCAGCCCAGCCCCCCCAGAATGCTGCCCTGGCACAGCCTCCCACCCACCAGCCCAGGAACAGCCCCAACTCACCAACACAGCAGAAACAAGCTTAGTCTTTTCATTCCATTGTGCCAGCTGCAAATTGCTTGCAGCTATTACAAATCCAGAGATGTCACAGCTCTAACCCCCAAACACACCTAAGCTGGCTGACAACACTCTCCCTCATGCAGCATTTCCCAATAGAAGGCTGATGAATGCCGAAGCAGTCTGATACAGGGGAGAGGGGAAAGAGCAGGGAAGGAAAGGAAGACTGCAAAACATGCAAGATAAACTTTCATAATTAGAAACAGTGGACAAAAAAGATGAAGAAATGCACTGCCTAGCTGAAAGGTGCTAAGCTAGAAGCTGTCCTAAATTTATTAGGGCCAGTGACCGCCAAAGCCTATTAGTAATTTTCAATAATAAACTCTCATTTTTTATCTTTACAGGTTATTTAATACCTCTTCACTAAACCCATTCTCAGCTCAGGTTACCTGCAAAGCTAGAAAACAAAAACCCAGCAAACATGACCAACACAAGGATATTGCACAGTAAGCCCTCCTGTCACCCAAAACACACACACACTGACAGCAAAGCAAGAAGACAGGAGGTTTACAAGTGATCCTGCAGTTAAATTATCTGAATTTGCCTGAGATTCAGACTCCAGCAACATGTTCTATGCAAGCTTCCTCAATAGCTCTCAGTTCTTTACCAGGAAAGCTCAAACGATTATTATTGGCATGATTGTCATGTCAAGAGGACTGATGCACCATCCCTGTGCTCACAGCTCTCCAGCAGCACTATGGAAGCCAAGAGCTGTAGGCTGCCACAAGAGCCTGGGTGCCAAGTGGGAGTGTGGAATGGGATAGGGGCAGGTCAAACCACAGTCCCCAGCCACGCATTAATAGCACCCTGTGGTAGCAGAAGGATGATGTCATATTGCCATTCTTAAGAACTGTGGGGCCTACACTGAAATAAGATGTGTACTGCAGCACAGGCAGACAGACATACCACCACCAACTATAAAGTAATAGTCAGTAAGTTCTAGAGCTTCAACCTCCAGCACATTGCAATAAAGCTGCTGTGAACCTTGGGTGCCCACGTCAGGCACTGTGGGTCCTCACTTCCCTCACTTCAAAGGCGTTAGATGCAGCAAGTACTTTCTATGCTCAACTGACTTGTGATCAGATCTCCTAATGCCATTTAAACATACCTTAAATGTACCACAGACTCAAAACCAGATAAATTTGTAACTAAGTATGCTGCATGATCCCAAACAAGAAGGTAACCCATAAAAGTCAAAAACACATAAAAGACACCATGTGAAAGCATAAATTGACATTTATCTCAGCAAAAGTGTTGTCTTCAGTAGTTTTGCCTCCATCCTTCCTATCTGTTCTTTCCCCATCCCCTTGTTCCCTGCCCTCCCACTGAGCCCATTCAGCTGTTCACACAGTCCCACAGTGAACCAGATTGGGTAGCTGATGCAAGATTAAAAATAATCCAGGAAAAAACAAAAAGTGAGGAGGAGGGAGGTGAAAAAAATTAAGTTCCTCAAATCAGTGCAAGATGAAAATGCAAAAAATCATTGTTTCACTGCATCAAGGGAATGCCATAGGGGCATAAACCTGCAGAGGGGCTCAGCCAACTGCTACCACTAAAGGAATACTTGTCACACCAGAATTAAGCTCTTGTGGAGAAGATGGAGACGGAATACCTGCTGGAAAGGCTCCTGATACCAAGATGACCTGTTCCCTTCCAGGCAGCTGACACAGCACTCTCCTGAAAGCAGAGCCTGGCACTAGTAAGAATGAACATATCTCTCCCACGTGCATTTTTTCATCAGAGGCCCCAAATTCCAGCTCAGAGGTCCCAAGCTTCTCCGATCTGGTGTTTATCCAACATTCCCATACGGTCTGTGATTGTGCAGGCTGTCAGTCCTCTCCGTGAAGAGGCAAACCAGCCCACCATGACTCCTTCCAAGTGAAAGTAGTCCACTTTCTTCGTGCTGCCATTTGTTTCATGGCTGTACAGCAGCTGTTAAGAAAATCTTCGATTCTGCTTCACCAGAGGCAGGCGATTCCAGGGTTTCCTACTGGCCAACAACTAAGATCCCCCATTTCAATTTGGAGTTTGATACCCTGGCATTCTGCCCCACACATTTCCAAAGTTTTACATCCCCCCTGAACTATGCTAGTTTGTGACAGTCCCATTTGTATTGGAAACCAATTCCCTTCCCATCAGAAAACTACCAGGAGAAACTTGGCAGGATTCAGCAGATCCAGCTGCTCTGTCCAAACAACTGGATGCCACCAGCCAACAGAGCCTGACAACCATTCAAGGGGCAGCTCCTAAGCCCCCAGCACGGTCAGTCTGCTTCTCAACACAAAGGGGAAGACTCCAGCCCCCACAGTGCAGGCTTCTCAGTTCCTCTACACAGGAACACACGAAGAGGACAACACACTTCGTGCCCACTTGTTGCCAACCCACCACTGGCTTCTGAAAACAACAATCCATGGTGTTTCATGCCCAGGCCTAAAGCAGTGACCATCCCTTCAGAGTGAACATAGACTTCCAGGAGCAGTATTGAGCTGTAGCAAGCAAGCTGCTTTTGGCAGCTGTTAGGTCTGGAGTTCATGCAGCACATCCGGTAGTCACAAGTGTAATAAGAGATTATCTGCTGAGTGTTTGTCTTCCAGTGGGAAGTGTATGAAATGACTGTGCACAAATCTCATCCCAGATTTAATCCTGCCCTGGAGTTCACACACAACTTCAGTACACAAAACCATTAGTGGGAGATAGCAGCACCAGAGGTCAGAAACAATTCGATAACACACACTCCTGGGCTCAGGCTGAACAGAGCTCTCACACAGAAACAGCTGCACCCATCCATATGTTGATCTTGCTAATACATCAAGACTTCATCCATATGGACCATAACGGAGCACTGCAACCTTGGCTACCAGCCAGCTGCCTTGCCCACGGCCCAGAAAGGCTAGGGAGCAAATCCTGGGCAACATTTCCAAGTGCAGGAAGGACAAAAAGGTAACTGAGACCAGCCAAAATGGATATTCCAAAGGCAAATCACAGCTGACCAACATGACTCCCCCATGTGGGACAAAGAGACTGGCTCTGTGGCTGAGGGGAGAGCAGGGGGTGTTGGACACCTTGACTTCATGTCAAAGGCCCTGCTAAGCCACCCACAGCATTCTTCAAACAAAAATGCTTAAAAAACTGGACAACAAAGGTAGGGGGAAAACTGTAACATCAGGTTTAAAGGATCACAGTCAGCAGTTACAACCTCCACTGGGCTGCTGGTTACTAATGGCATCCCATTCTAATGGCAGCCAGCCCTGCTCAGAAGCAGGGATAGGATGAGGGATAATGGGAAAAGGGACCCCAGCTGGAACAAGAGAAAAGCCATCTAGGCACAGGGAAACAAATATTTTCTATAAGCACGGTCAAACACTGGACAGGGCCCAAAGTAAGGGTGACATCAACCATTCTTAGAGCTTGGGATGGATACAGCCCTGAGCACTCTGATCTACCAGGGCATTTTCTAGCAGGAGGTAAATCTAGGGACCTCCAGACCACAGTACAGATTAAGGCAAACAAAATGCCTAGAGATGACACTCCCCATAAGACTTGGCCATACAATGCTGACCAAAATTTCCAGGAAACTATTCCCTTCACAAGTCACACTAAGGTGAATTTCCACAACTCATCTTGCCTATCATCCTACTCTCAGCATCTCCAAACCAACATAATGCTACAGGCACACTATCAGCCTGGGGCAACCCAAGACACAAAGCTAGGACAGCCAAGAGTCAGCTCGTACACCTCTGTGAAACCAGGTGCAACCAGAAAAAAGTACAAGCATGACAAAAGCAGCTGCGTTTTTCAAAAAGTAAGGGTAGGCCAGAAGAGCAGAAAGAACAGAAAGTAGTTGTTGATGGAGAGCAGCCAGACAGGATGGCTTGGCCACCTTCGCTATATTTTTTCTCTTGTTTACTTTACTTTGGTTTTGCAGAACTCCACAAGAAACAGGGCATTTTGAAAAAGAAGGAATTCCACAAAAACACCCTCCTATACAGCCTATAGTCCTGGGGAGAAGGAAGCTCCAAGAACAGCTTTTAAGAAGGAAAATGGCTGAGCACAAATTCACGCCAGACCACCCTCAGTTTATGTTCCATAAAACACAGTCCCAAATCCCGTTGCCTCTCCTTTCTCTTCACGTGAGCCAAAACAAAGGACAATCAGACAGGAGCACAACCCTGAACAGAAGACTAATGGGAAAGCACTCAACAGAACAGCAAGAGTGAAAGGGGAGGCCAAGATCTGCAGGACGTGCCTCCTACCAGCCCCCCGGTCCACCAGCAGCCTCTGCCCATCTTTGTGCTCCTTATCGCAGCAACTCCTCCTGGGTCCCCACCCCAGCAACCTCGCGTGACCCCCATCCGAGCAGCCTCTCCCCTCGGGCCCCGTCCCGGGCCTGCCCCACGGCGGCTCCGCTCCAGCCCCGCTCACGGATCCACCGTGCCCCAGCCCCGAGCCCCCACCTCGAGCCCCACACGCCTCGTGTCCCGCACCCTCGTGCTCCGCGCGGCCCCGCGCGGCCGCTGCCCCGCACCTCGGCCAGCCCGCGGCGCCCACCGCCCCGGGCCCCTCACGCCGCGTAACCCCGCGGCCGGCTCCCTTCGCCGGGCGGCGCCGGGCCCTGCCCCGCGCCCGCGGCCCCGCCGGCCCGCGCCCGCCCGGCCTGCCCCGCCGGGCCCGGGAGGCCGCGCGGGGCGGCGGCGCTCGTACCTCCGACCCGGTACATGTTGGCGGCCATGCCCGCGACCGGGCCGGGTGCGGGGCGCGGGCCGCTCCCGCCGCCTCCCGGTGCCGGATCCGCTGGAAAATGGAGGCTGGAGCGGGCGGCGGGGGAGGGGAGCGGGGGAATTAAAGGGGCCGCGCCGGCCGACGGGGAGGGAGCGAGGCGGAGGGCGGGGCGGCGGCCCGGGCCCGGCGGCGGCGGGAGGGGAGGAAGGAAGGAAGGAGGGAAGGAGGGGAACGAGCGAGAGCCGCCCGCCCGCGGCGTGTGGGGGCGGCGCTCCGGCCGTGAGGGGAGGGACGGGACGGGAGCAGCGAGCGCGGCCGGGGCGGCGCGGCCTGCTCGCACACACACACACACACACACACACAGACAGACACAGTGACTGTACACAAACACAGAGAGCACCTCTGCTCACACACACACACCACCTACACACACACAGCTTCTCCTTGCACGCGCGCGCGGCCTGTCCTCACACACAGTCACACACTGACCGCCTGTGCACACCCGTGGCACACACACTGCCTGTGCACACCAGTGGCACACACACACTGACCGCCTGTGCACACCAGTGGCACACACACACTGACTGTGCACACCAGTGGCACACACACTGACCGCCTGTGCACATCAGTGTCACACACACACTGACTGCCTGTGCACACCAGTGTCACACACACACTGACCGCCTGTGCACATCAGTGTCACACACACACTGACTGCCTGTGCACATCAAAGTGTCACACACACACTGACCACCTGTGCACACCCGTGGCACACACACTGCCTGTGCACACCAGTGGCACGCACACACAGACTGCCTGTGCACATCACAGTGTCACACACACACTGACTGCCTGTACATGCACATGACACCCCTACCCTCACATAACCCTCCTCATGCAGCTCTCTGGGTCCCACAGAGGCTCTGCTCTCATGCACCAGCCCTGACGTGGCATGGGCAGCCCTACACACACAGAGCACACTGTCCTCAGGTGCAGACTGACACACACACACTACCTGTGCTCACATGTGTGCCTGTACTCACAGTCCTTATCACATGCCTGTTTTCACACACAGCCTCCATCATGTACAGGCACCACCGGTGGTTTTGGACAGCCCTCATGCTGCCTTGTCCTCACACACACACAGAGTCTTCCTCACACAGACCCAACTGCCACAGACCATGCACACCCAGGGCAGGAAAAGCAGGTCCCTGCACGGACACAGCCCTCCTGGTGCACACCAACAGCCCACTCACACCTACACCCATCTGCTTCCCACACACATCCCTCCAGCCCTACACACACCTCCAGCTCACACTCCCCACTCCTGCACTGTCCCACTTGGGTCCCCTCTGCACTTGTGTCCCCCACTGCCACACTGGGGCTTTCCCCCCTCCTCAGGTGTCAGCCTGAGAGGTGAAATGATGGTTAGCTTTCCCTTGCCCACTGACCTGAGGGTGTCACTGGTCCTGGGCTGCACCATGCAGGTACACCCCTTCTTCAGCCCTGCACAGCTCCTGTCCAGGTGTCTCCTCAGCAGCCCTGCAGTTGAATAGCTGTCAGCTCCAGATCACTGCAAAACTTGCATGTTGCCACTGCCACTTCCTTTCCTACAGGAACTGGATGATGCCAAAAAACACCCTAAGAAACCACCATTCTGTGGTACATAACACCTTTACAGCAGGTCCCTCAGCAAGAGCTGACAAAGTGCAGCAGTGAAGGTGAAGGACCATGCCCCCGAGGACTTCTCCATGCATGTGGCCAAGGCTGGATGGTGAAGCTCAGTGAAACGCTACCCCTCTGAGGGTCAGCAGAAGCAGACCTGGAGCACTGCTGGCCTCTCAGGCAGGGCAGGATGACTACACTTGGCTCCAGCACAGAGCTGGAGAGTCACCTGGTGTTGCCAAGTGACACCCTAGGACTTCTCCACACAGTCACACAGGTCAGGATGGCCAAAAAATATCTGTCACGAAACTCTTTGCTGGAGTAAGTGGTTAACACTGCAGTCATACCCTTTACTGGGTATGGGCTGAGCAGAGCTGCTGCCTGCACTCCAAACACGCTTCTCAAAAAGAACTGAAACACCTACATAAGACTGCCCAAAATACTGACATCTGCTAAAATACATATATTTTTCAGAAAGAACAGGGGTCTTGTTAAAATTTGCTTTGTGTGTTAGGAAAACAACCCTATAACACAAAATCTCTGACAGTCCTCAGATCCCAGGAGGGTACAGGGCTCTGCTTTTATGTGCAAGGAGCATGGCTGAGTGAGGAAAACACTTCTGGGGGTGAAAATCGGTCAGCCAAAAAAGGTCAGTGCGCCAGGGAGCACCGCCGTGATATTTCCTCCTTCCTGAGCCATCCAGGGAAGCGTGTGCCGGCCCAGGCGCCGGGCACACCGCAGGACACAAGGGCTGGCCTCCCCAGGCTGCTGCTGCAGCCACTCTGCTGAGCTGAAAATAATCCAGTAGGACACAGATAAATTAGCCAGAACAAATATTTACAAATCACATCCCAGCGCACTCGGTAGTTGCACATGGAGAAGTGGACAGTCGCATGGCGTTGATGATTTTTTCCAAATGCTAAATTGTGTTTTAAACGATAGCGAGAAAAACGTGTTGGATCTTCCCTGCTGCTCCTCTTCCAGGTTAAGCAACAGCTGTGGTGAGAGCCAGGGTGTTGTGCAGTTGGAGGGAGGCGAGCTGGAGCTGCTGGACTCAGCCTGGGAAGAAGTGAGTTCCTGCAATGCCCCATCTCCCACCACCAAACCCCCCTCCCATGGGCACCACCGACTCCCACCACGCAAAACCAGACCTCCCAGAGAGCTTTGGGTGCATCCTGGCAGGACAGCACTTGTGTTTGACACCTCTCCCATGACAGTGAGCGTCTGAGCACATGGTCTAAGAAAGGCCCAGACCTGCAAAAGAAAGATGCCAGTGCTTTGAGAGCCCAGTCCTAGGCTGCCTGGCAGAAATTCATCTGTCCCAGTGCATGTGAATGAGGGAGGCTCTCCAGGCCCATTGCATACAACCTGGTACACTCCAACCCAAAGTAGTTTTTGTTCCACCCAACCCTCGTTTCCTCCTCCTCTCTTCCAGACAACAGGAGAGTGTGCCAAGGGCACTTGGCTTGCTGCTCTCCCTGCTGCTGTGCTTCCCACACGAGCTTTCCCACCACCCCAGTCCTCTCCACTCACACCCTTATTCACTTGCTGAGACAAATTCCTCCATGGGCTCTAAAAGGTGATGCTCAGGATGTGCCTCTTGCATTCAGCCAGGCCATCAGTGCAAGTTTACAGCTGAACCTGTGCAGAAAATACACAGCCAGAACACAGCCTTGACATGTTTGTTTCCTCCGGCGCTCCCATGGTGCCCCCGTGCCCCCCTCCACTCCATCACCAGCCAGACACCCTCTGTGGCTTTAGGTGCTGTTTGTGCACTCCTGAGTACTGAGCTTGCCCTGAGTTACCCCCATTCCTCCTGCCTGGAATGATCCAATGCCTGCTCTGTGCCACCAGGTGTGGGTTTTGTGTCCCTTCTTCCATCATAGGGCTTGGGCCATAAATGCATCCAGGCCACACAGAGCATCTGAGCTATCCACTGAGACCTGTGTCCTTTGAGAGCAGCCTGGTCTGCTCTGAGGGGCTCCCTTCACCCCAGCTCCTTGCCCCAGCTGTCACCCCTCCATTCCTCACCCTTGCGTCAGGACAGCATGAGGAAACAGGCTGCTCCAGCAGAGCATTCCCATTTCTGCCTCCAACATCCTGCATCCTAAGGACCGTGGCCATGGGTCCATTTCTCAAAATTTCTTCTTCACCTTCCTTCTTCAAAACAACAGCTTAGCTCTCCTCTTTCCTTTACCTCTTCACCATCTGACTCCCTAGCGCCAAGCCCAGGTTCTTGAAAACCCACACATCCCTGTTTCTGTCCTACAGTCCTCTCAGAAGCACACACAACTTCAGGTTCCCACAGCCTGTCTTCCTCCCTGAGATGCCCCTCTTGGTACCCCAACACTGCATCCACCCAACGCAGCCTCCAGATCAGAAACTGGCACCAGCCTGGTCCTTTCTTGCTGTGCAGAGGTGAGGACGGAGTGCTGGAGGTGAGCAGATCCTTCTGGGAGAAAGGGCTGCAAAAACTACAGGAAGGCTCGGTGCTGGGAAGGATGCACCAATCCACCAGCTCTGCCCTGGAAGTGGCAGCTGGATAAATAACACAAGAGAACCACCACGGCAGAAAGCCATGCTGCTGCTTCCTCCTGCAAACAACTGCCCCCCACATGCCAGGGCAACCCCTGCTGAGAGACGACTCGGGGGACGGGTGTGTGCTTTCATGTCCAGTTTTATTAGTGTTGCATTAGTACCATAAAATAGTTGACGAGGTCAAGCATGTTGCAGTTTGTTCCAAAAAAAAGGCTATTTACATTTAATCTGTCTTCATAAAAAACAACCCTAGAACCCAAACAATACAACAATGAAACAGATGGACAGCTCGGGAATCTACAAAGTGGTAACGTCCCCTCTCACACCGCGCTGCGGACAAGCCTGGTGGCACACAGCCCCAGAATTCAGGTGCTTCCCATGGCTGGGGCACGTCCGCAGCCAGGCAGGCCACGCTCCGGCCACTGTCCCGCCAAGGCTCCAACCAGCAGCTGACTGGATGTGGCCCCAAAACACTGTTCTTCCTTAAGGAAACCAGCGACCTGCTGCTTTACAAGTTGGCACATCCCCTTCTGCCCCAGTCTGTCCCAAAGCACCAGAGTGATCCTTCTTGCAGGAGCCAGCCTGCCAGGAACATCTCCCATGAGAATACCATTGAAGAGGCTCCAGGAAACCTCTGGGAGGTGCTGCTGCTCATTTCTGGCCTTCTCCTGCCAGGTTAAACCCAGAGGGACTGTCACAATAAAATGCCACCGCTCAAATATCTGCTGAGATCAAGACCTCCCAGATGATAGGGACAGACACTGCACCCAACCTAACTTCCAGAAAGCTCCAGGGCTCCAAGCCCTGCATGGCACAACTGTCCTAATCCCAGTTTCCCAATCCCTTAGCATGCCAAGCAGCAGAAAAAGACCACTGGTTCTGCCGACTCTTGACATGACTTTCCTCTTAACTTTGGA